GGAAAATTTTTAGTTCTGTCCTGGAATCCTTCTTTTTGAGGGTCCTAAAGCAAATCAGTCGCTTGTGTTAGAGATCAGAATGAAACCTTGCAGAGACCATTGTTAAATTTATTTATTAATTATTGCAGGTACTATATAGCGCCATCAATTTATGCAGTGCTTTACATATATATTGTATATTCACATCAGTCCCTAACCCTCAAGAGGCGTAAAATCTAAGGTCCCTAAATCATATTCATACATACACATACTAGGGCCAGTTTAGACAGGGGCTAATTAACCTACCAGCATGTCTTTAGAGTGTGGGAGGAAACCGGAGTACCCGGAGGAAACCCACGCAGGCACAGGGAGAACATGCAAACTCCAGGAAGGTGTTGTCGTGGTTGGGATTCAAACCAATGACCCTAGTACTGCCAGGTAGAAGTGCTAACCATTATTTAGCCACTGTGCTGCCCCAAATTTATGTCTTTGAATCCAAACTGCCGTCTATTTTATGTATGGGCTTTGTAGCAAAAGGCTGCCCAGAGTAGGAGCTGTAGGCACTGCTACGTGACTGGGAACTGACCATTTTCAATAAGACTACCCGTGTTTTTTTTTTTTTATTACATTGTAAGTGCACGCCAGACAATGACAGACTTGGCGGAAATATTCCTCACATACCGTATAAACATTCCTATCCTCATGTGACAGCGGAGGAATTCCTACCTTATGTTAATTAGTGAACTTCAAGCCCATGCTCTTTGGTGACAGAATATTTAGCCTGTGCTACATGGAATCTGCCTGTTAGTAAATCTAATTGTTTGTTACCACCACTATCCCTGTGAAAGAATCATATCTGATACAATTGCTCGCATTCATCAAAAAATACAATCACCAACCTTGTGTGTGTGTGTGTGTGTGTGTGTGTGTGTGTGTGTATGTGTGTGTGTGTATGTATATATACACACACACACACGTGTGTGTATATATATATATTATGTGTGTGTGTATAGATAGATTTTGTGATTTAAGCGGGCCATAGACGAGTCGAAAACGAAAATTCTTGGTAGTTTTTTTTTTTTTTTTTCGCATCACTGGTGTGCTAGCTGCGACTCGCAATTTTCGCGTCGCAAGCGAAAGTGCCTGATCCGGCATGCTGGGTTTTATTTAGAAAAATAAAACAAATGATGGCATAATCGTATACGTCATTTTTTGATGGACAGAATGTTCGGTTTTCGATTTGTCTTTGTCCATGTACAAACATTTAATAGAAGGGAAAGGGTTCGCAGAGCACTTTGAGTTATCTAAAAAGATAGCACTGCAGCTTGTTTTTGCACCTCTATTCATCTGATTGAAATCAATTACTAAAGCCTAGCACACGATGGGAAGATCGGTCGAACGATCGTGTATATTTTTATTTTTTTTTACTTGGATGCTAGTCTCATATCAAAAACCAATAGGTTAGTGAAGTTACGAAAATTTTTGTACGATGAATACAACTTCGGAAGAGATGTAATGTGTTTTATTGTAATGTATTCTTTTGTTTCCGAGCAGGCGTGGTCTTGGACTTCTGATTTCTTTCTGAGGAATACCATACCGATTAAACAAAAAAAGTTTGTTGTGGCACCATACAAGAAAAATATTTGTGTTTGTCCCTTCAGATAATTTCGCACATTTTTTTTATTTATTCACTATATGATTTTGCACTTTAGCAATTTATTTTTTTGTTATACTATTTTGTGGATATACTGTGTTTGGTCATTGCATCTGATTGTTTAGTGTTCAGCGCACTCTTTTATATGTGTTTTGCGTTTTTCTGGTGTTCAAGAAAAGAGTAGCAGCAGTACACTACATGTATTCACATATTTATTTATTTATACATTGTCATACATTTTTTGGGGCAGGTTTTTCCTTTTTCACTTAATTTTGCATGAACGGTCGTGATCGGCCCTCGAAAGTACTAACAATCAGATTATCGTACGATTGATTAGAAAGCAGTATTTTTCCGATTTTCTGATCGTATGTATTATCCATGAGCTGTCTCATTAGGGAAGAGTCACTACTCTAATAACCTATTTAATTCTGGAAACCTCTGACTTCATTCAGTGTAGCTGAGAGTGATGCAATGCTTCACATATGAAAAGGAGATTAGAGCTCCCCACGCTGGCTCAACAAAAGAATACATCGTATTAATATGCAATATTATATATTTGTCTAAGAGTTCATGTACACTGCAGCTGATAAACTCATGTTTAGGAGCTTTTCTGTGTTTTTTCAGCAGCCCCTGAACTCTCCCTAATGTTTTCCTATGTGTCCATGTACACAGTCGTTTACAGTCAGTTGAGTTTACAGTTGGTTTTTTGAACACACCAAACTTACGTTCAGGAGTAGATTTTATCAGCGTGTCAAACGCTTGTAAACGCAGCAAACTGCGTTTATAAGCGTTCGCGTTTATAAGCGTTTTTTTAACTGTTCCATGTCCAGATGCTGTCCAGAGCATTTTCATCATCAGAAATGCATGCCCAGCATTTTCCATGTATTCAAATGGACCCAGTACACCAGCGCAGTCAGTTCCAGGTTTTGCCTGAAGGAAAAAAATGGTAGAGCGTGCCGCATTATGCTCATGATGGGATCCATAGTGAATACAAGCAGAAAAGACAGCTCATCTCAACACATACTGCTCTCTCTGCTTCTGCTCTCTCTATTTCTCTCAAAATGTCTAAAATAGTTAATTTATTACTGTTTTTCAGTGCATTCTGGGCATTTGGGAAGGTCTCCTGAGGTTATCATTAAAAAACGCTTCTAAACGCAAACGCTCATAAACGCGGCTAAATAGATGTTTTTAACCTACATTGTCCTGCAGTCAGTTTCCATCATTCAGAAGTGTTTTCTAAACGTCCCGTGTACATGGAGCCTCAATGTATAGAAAAATGATCTATAGTGGGCAGCACAGTGGCTAAATGGTTAGCACTTCCGCCTGGCAGTACTAGGGTCGTCAGGTTCAAATCCCAACCACGGCACCACCTGCCTGCAGTTTGCATGTTCTCCCTGTACCTGCGTGGGTTTCCTGCGGGTACTCCGGTTTCCTCCCACACTCCAAAGACATACTGGTAGGTTAATTAGCCCGTCTAAATTGGCCTTAGTATGTGTATGTATGAATGTGATTTAGGGACCTTAGATTGTACATGCTGGTAGGTTAATTGGCTCCTGTCTATGTTGTCCCTAGTATATGTATGCATGTATGAATGCGAGTTAGGGACTGATGCGAATGTACAATATATATGGAAAGCGCTGCGTAAATTGACGGCGCTATATAAGTACCTGAAATAAATAAATAGTTCTTACCATAATAAAAAGAAGAAAATATGTAAGCACTATACATCCCCTGATCCTCTGAAGGTGTCAGGCTTGTTGTGAAGCTTCGGAATCAGCTTTGGAAAAGAAAGGAGGGCTCTCTTTGCGTAGATGTGTAAAGTAATTGGCTGGCTATGTATGCACGGCGTTCACATGCTGTTAGTAGAAATGTCATGAAACCTCTTTAATTATGCATTATTATAACCTTCTGCCAGTGGCAGTCCTATTACAGTGACAGGAAAGTGAAGGGCTTTACTTGGAAATAAGATAGTAAGCTCAATTCACTAAGTTACTACGCTTGAGGTGTTTAATAATAATAATCATTTGATATTTTTAGCCTGTTGGGCCTGGCGCAAACTGCAGCTTGAAAATACATTTTTTTTTAATACTAATCTAACATGCAGCCCATTGTTTACAGTATGTCTGTACACACAGGCGCATCAACAGGCACTGCGTATTCTTGAGTTAAAAAAAAAAAGAAAAATCTTAGTTCCTGCTCAGTATTTTGCACCAGTACGCACAAAAGCGCATAAATATGAATGGATTTTGCTTCGGAGCTTATTGTACGTTTGAATGTGAATACGCTTAAATACATACAAAACAAACGTCTGAAATTGCGTCCAGAAATGCTGATGCTCAAACATCAGTACCGTGTGCTACAGGCCTTATGCTGGCCAAATAGTAAGTAGAGTTTTTTTGTTCGACTTTCTAATCGCTAGTCTGATCAAATCAACAATTGTTTTTAGCTGCACCGATGAGAAAATTTGAAGGATGCAGGACGGGACGTTTGCGGTTCTCGTTTCAGAAAGTTCATTCACTCAAAAGTTAAACCCCAAAACAAAATTTAGGAGTACTTTTGAATGATATTTGTCAAGTCATCAAATGTACTGAGAATTTTCATACGATGTTTATATGAACGGTCATTCAAAAATCTACTAGTGTATGGCTAGCTTTGGCTTCAGCTCCTATTGCTAAATAACGATTGTAATGGCTTAGAGAATTGAGCCTTGTATGTGTCACTGATTTTCAAACATTGCTTAAAGCAGGGGTGGGCAACTGTGGCCCTCCAGCTGTTGGTGAACTACTAGTCCCATCATGCTGCCTTTGGCAGTCATGCTTGTAACTGTCTGTTTTGCCATGCCTCATGGGACTTGTAGTTCTACAACAGCTGGAGGGCCACAGTTGCCCACCCCTGGCTTAGTGTTACTAAACCCACAACAGTAACATCAGTCTGTATATGCAATAAAGCATGCTTGGTATATGGACTGTGGAACCTAAGGGGTTAATCCTCTGCATTGTGTAAAAGCGCTGTTTGATCTTGATTTCTCTGATCCTCCCCTTCTTCCAGTGTCCCCCTCTTATCTCATGATGAGATATATCGTGTGGAGACACTCTGTAAATGCTCAGTTTGGTGTGTATTGCTAGAGAGTTTTTTTTTTTTTTTCTGGGAGAGTGCATATGATCAGCACAGGGCCAATCAGCACTGTCCAGACAGAGGTCAGGGGTCCTGCATCTTCCTAGAGCAAAAGGAAAACTCCTCCTACAAGCTTTAACATGTGCTCTGCTGGACACTGATAGAAGTCACAAGACTGCTCTAACTGCAGATGGGAAAAGGTATTTAGCAGTTTAGATTTACTAAAATAATTGCATTTCCATGTTGTGTGTACTGTGGGAGACCAGATATAGTGAATGCAGGGTCTGAGGAGACCAGATATAGTGAATGCAGGGTCCAGGGAGACCGGATATATAGTGAATGCAGGGTCTGAGGAGACCAGATATAGTGAATGCAGGGACCGGGGAGACCGGATATAGTGAATGCAGGGTTCGGGGAGACCGGATATAGTGAATGCAGGGACGGGGAGACCGATATAGTGAATGCAGGGACCGGGGAGACCCGACATAGTGAATGCAGGGACCGGGGAGACCCGACATAGTGAATGCAGGGACCGGGGAGACCCGACATAGTGAATGCAGGGACCGGGGAGACCCGACATAGTGAATGCAGGGACCGGGGAGATCCCGACATAGTGAATGCAGGGACCGGGGAGACCCGACATAGTGAATGCAGGGACCGGGGAGACCGGATATAGTGAATGCAGGGACCGGGGAGACCGGATATAGTGAATGCAGGGACCGGGGTTTAGTAACTCTTTAAAGTGACACTAAAGCTTGCCCCTTTTTTTTAATGCCAAACATGACATACTTACTTGCTCTGTGCAATGATTTTGCACAGAGCAGCCCCGATCCTCTTCTTTTTGGGTCCCCGCTGGCACTCTTGGCTCCTCCCTCTTGAGTGGCCCCACCCCCTCTGCTCTCTCCTCATTGGTTATGATTGACAGCAGCAGTAGCCAATGGGCAAATGCTGTTGAGAATGTTGTTGGATTGGAGGGGGCTCAGGTAAGGATTTGGGGTTGGGGGAGGGGCCGCTGCATACAGAAGGTTTTTTAGCTTTATGCAAAGAATATCTGAAGGTAAAAACCCTTGAACCTTTAGAACCACTTTAACGATGTGTCATTCTTGTGAGCTATACATTTTTCTTTAATTGATTTGTACTATAAAGCAGGATGGTTTTGAGATCCTTCACCTGTTGCTATTAAATTGGATCAATATCTTTATTCACAATTGAAGCAGCCAGACATGGCTCCATGGAAATTAGGCTTAAAGGGTAACTCCACTTTGTAGGAAAAAATTGTCAAATAAAAAAAACCACATATAGAATGTACAATGTCGTTACAAGTCATGTTGTAATATATTAATTATGGGTACCGATCTAGCGTTGTCAATTTACGCAGCACTTTACATATATTGTTAATTCACATCAGTCCCTAATCCTCAAGGAGCTTACACTTTCCTAAAGTCCCTAATGCAGGCCATACATGGTTCGAATTCCAAACGATTTTTCGTCTGAAAATCGGAAACGTCATTCGCTCGGTAATGATGGTGCCATCAATGATTTCGAAAATCGGCCAACCAAGTCATAAAGTTCACCCCATATAACAGGCAAAACTTCTGTTCCTTCCAGGTCACAGCTCATGTGCATATTCTTTTCGGAAAAACGATTGTACGATTTGACCGTCATTGAGTCGAAAATCAGTCGTTTTTCACATATTTTCCAACATGACCGATCACCAAAAAGGGGAGGAACCAAGAAAATCGTCCGGTGCCGCTGACAACTAACAGAGCAAAAATCGGCCGATTATTCTTAGGGCCGATTTTCGACCCATGTATGGCCGGCCTAACTTGCATACTAGGGCAGGAGCCAGTTAACTTACCAACATATCTTTGGACTGTGGGAGGAAAACTAGAGTACCTGGAGGAAACCCACACAGGCACAAGAGGAACATGATTCAATGCTATTAAAAATCACCTTTCCTTTTCAATCTGCAGCACTGTTATTTTCTGTAATCTAAAATGCAATGCAACCTGCAGGAGTTCTGCACACAGACGGAGTACAGAATGTCTCCCAGAATCGTCATTTCTTGCTCGTGCGTTTTTTCCAGAAGTCTGCACTAAGATACAAGTGACATTTTGGACATCCCCTGCAACAAAAAAAAAATAATTTTTGATGAGATACTCCCAAAGGGAAATCATGTCTAAAGGGATGCAGACCCTGCCACTTTCCTCATTAGAATCCTGCAAGTGCAGCAGCTGATGGATAATTATAAAACCACTTTCCCTTCAATAGATTTTTATTGAAATATTTTTTGTCTTTAGAAGATAGTGACAACCGCAGTTATGTAGAAGTGTGAAATCAATGATTGACAAATCAAACGCGTAACAAATGTTAAAATAATTGGCATTGCAGAAGGTCCAATAATCATGTCGTAAAAAAAAAAAAAAAACACTTTGATTTACATTCACTCTGCACTTGGACAAAAAGCTATTTCTTCAGAATAACAAATGGAATCTGCAACAAACTGTCAGAATCCTTCCGCTTTTCATTGACAGCCCACAGGGGATTGTTTTTTTCACACCAGTAGCGGAGTTACTCTTTAAGTGTGTCCTGCTGTAAAAAAGAAGCAAAGTCTTGGTATTCTATTTTTAAACCAACATATCTTTGTATATAATATTTGTATTATAAAGTGATACATGCGATTTTGTAGCACCTAACGCTCCAGAGTCTTTCCTTCATTGGAGTAGAAGCAGCCGTGTCAGAGAGCATTGTGCGGTGAACTGCCATTACCTGGTATAAATTACATAACCGAATACCTGTGACCACAGCCCATCAGACAAGCAGCTGTGCCACCTCCAGCTCTCCCGTTCCTCTACAAGACCGGTGTAAGCCAACACCGCGTTCACCTTCTGTCAGCCTATATCTGCAATCTAATTCCTTTATTTTAAATATAAACACAGGCAATTCAGCAGTGTGAAGGTCACTCTCTGCCAGGGCTTGTTGTAGTGTGCGTGCCACCGACTTATGGCAGAATCGGCTGCTATGCGGTCACAGCAATATTCCTGACCGCTTGTCGGTAACTGGTCTGTTTTAGCATTCTGGAATCATTGGGACAAATCAAACCACGCTGAACGCCATTGTACTGTACAGTACTCAGTCTGCTGGTTGGATTCAAACCTTTTACAGATTTGACAGTCACATATTATAGTTCAATTTATTTATTTTAGGTACTTATATAGCGCCGCCAATTTACACAGCGCTTTACATATATATTGTACATTCACATCAGTCCCTAACCCTCAAGGGGCGTACAATCTAAGGTCCCTAACTTACTTACATTCATACACACACATACTAGGGCCAATTTAGACAGGAGCCAATTAACCTACCAACATGTCTTTGGAGTGTGGGTGGAGGAAACCGGAGTACCTGGAGGAAACACACGCAGTCACAGGGAGAACATGCAAACTCCAGGCAGGTGGTGCTGTGGTTAGGATTAAAGGAGAAGTAGGGCCAAATTCTTTTGGCCCTACTTTTCCTGTGGATCACAGGAGTGCACTTAGACTGGCCATACATTATACAATTTTTTTTTTTTAGAAAATTGCTTTAGATTTACCAAAAACCATATAATATGAGATCAGACTTGAACAACACTTTCAATTGTATCCAATTAGGCAGGCCCTTGCACTATATAGTTTAAGGTAAATCTAAAAGAAATTGTATAGTGTATTGCCAGCCTTAGTTCTGCACTCCTGTGACCCAGATTTAGCCCACAGCAGAATAAAGTCCACTGTCGGCTGACATTTTTCATGCAGTTCAGGCTTTGGAGAGATCACAACTTTAATGTCGATATCCAATAGTGATTCACTGATATATTGGCCACCGAAATCTATCGGCTAAAAATAGGGTTATCTGCGTTTTTGCAGATAATGTCATTGACTTCAATGCAAAATTGCGTCCTATTGACTCCAATACAAAATCACATCCCATGGACTTCAATGTAGATTTCAATGCAAAATTGCATCCCTTTGACTCCAATTCAAAATTGCGTCTCATTGACTCCAATGGAAAAATGCCCCTATTGACTGCAATGCAAAATTGTGTCCGATTGCCTCCAATGCAAAATGGCCCCCACTGGCTTCAATACAAAATTGCATCCTATTGACTCCAATGCAAAATAGTGTTCCATGGACTTCAATGTAAAAACGCTCTCTATTGACTTCACTGCAAAATTGTGTCCTATTGACTCCAGTGCAAAATTGCATCCCTTTGACGCTAATGCAAAATCGTGTCCCATTGACACCAATGGAAAAATGCTCCTATTGACTTCAATGCAAAATTGTGTCCTATTGACTCCAATGCAGAATCGCCCCTATTTACTTCAATGCAAAATCGTGTCCTATTGCTTTGAGTGCAAAATCGCATCCCAATGGAAAAACGGCCCTGTTGACTTCAATGCAAAAACGCCCCCTATTGACTTCAATGCAAAAACGCCTCTATTTAAGTTTTTTTTTAAAAAACAAAAAATATACAAACACTGCTCAAAAAAAATTAAAGGAACACTTTTTAATCAAAGTTTAATCAAAGTATCAAGTCAGTTAAACCCCTGGGATATTGATCTAGTCAGTTAAGTAGCAGAGGGGGTTGTTAATCAGTTTCAGCTGCTTTGCTGTTAATTAAATTAACAGGTGCACTAGATGATCAACAATGAGACAACCCCCAAAACAGGAATGGTTTTACAGGTGGAGGCCACTGACATTTTTTCCCTACTCATCTTTTCTGACTGTTTTTTGCTAGTTATGCTGCCTGTAACATCGTTCAGCATGACCGTTTTGGTGGTGGGCCAGTGATGGTCTGGGGAGGCATATCCATGGAGGGACGCACAGACCTCTACAGGCTAGACAATGGCACCCTGACTGTCATTGGGTATTGGGATGAAATCCTTGGACCCATTGTCAGACCCTATGCTGGTGCAGGGGGTCCTGGGTTCCTCCTGGTGCACAACAATGTCCGGCCTCATGTGGTAAGAGTATGCAGGCAGTTTCCGGAGGATGAAGGATTTGATACCATTGAATGGCCCCCACACTTGCCTGACCTAAATCCAATAGAACACCTCTGGGATATCATGTTTCGGTCCATCCAACGCTGCCAGGTTACACCTCAGACTGTCCAGGAGCTCTGTGATGCCCTGGTCCAGATCTGGGAGGAAATACCCCAGGACACCATCCGTCGTCTCATTAGGAGTATGCCCTGACGTTGTCAGACATGTATACAAGCACGTGGGGGCCATGCAAACTTTTGTACAATTTGGAGTTGCTGCAATGAAATTTCAGCAAAATGGACTAGCCTGCTGCATAATTTTTTCACTTTGATTTTCGGGGTGTCTTTGAATTCAGTCCTCTGTAGGTTGATCATTTTAATTTCCATCAAACGATGGGGCATCTTTATGTTCCTAACACATTACCCCGTATATATCAGTATAGATAGCCAGCAAGAGGAACCTTAATTGGGATTGGCTGACCTACCGTATGCAAACTATAAATTAAAAGATTTTGGTAGATATTGCGTATACAATAAACAGTCTGTCCTTATAGTTTCCACTAAAAAGAAAAAAAAAAAAGTTGTGCATTGTACTTCATGTGCATTGGCATCTACTGCACATGTCCATTTGTGTGACATTCCAGATGAATGCCCCCACAATGCCTACATATCCTACCATGGGTTACAGTAATGTATTGCAGTGTGCAGTTTGCTGTAGAATACCACAATGCCCTACCTTAGGGCCAGTTTCACCCTTATGTATTGTTATAAATGTAACACACTATGCACAAAAAAAAAGCATTCTTTTTAAAAATTTCTTTAGATATGGAAAAAAAAATGTTCACACATGTCAAGAAATCAATTGGAGTCAGTGGAAATGTGGAAACATTCATGACAAAACCTGCACCAATGTGTGTTATAGCCATGCAGTGATAAAAGCGCATTTAAGCATTTTATGCATAACCCAATTAGACACTTTTGGCAAACTAAGCTGATTTGTAACAGCTGAATAAAATTGATTATGTTGCCTACAGCAACTGAAAAATGATAAGATTTATCAGGTTATCTTTGTAGAGAAAAGACTGGTTGTTCCCGGACACTCGCATTGTCGCAGTGCCCTGGATGGCTGCAGCTGATGAAATAAAAATAGAATGTTCTGGAATAAGACACGAGTATTTTATAAGTTTTATATAACCGCAAGGAAAACATCTTATCCAAATTAGTAGTATGACAGCAGGGGGGTCCTTGCAGGTTATTAGATCCAGGAGGACTAGAGTGTAGAAGTAGTTCAATGCCTCTGATAATGGCGAGAAGCCTTCCGGCAGAGCCTATGCTGTAGGTATAAATACCATATCTTGTCTTTCTTGTACAGTTTATTCAGCATTGGAACCAGTTTGAATGTGTCATCTAAGCTGTCTTCTCATTATCTATATGAACTCCATGTTCTGGTTTCTTCTGAAATCCCAAATTCCCAACACTCCTTTTAGCCATATGCAAAATGGAGTCAGTTCATCCATGAAATAACAGCAAGTAATTATCACATCGCTTGTATTTTAGCGATTTTTTTATCAGGATGTTATAACCAGGGGCGGACTGACCATTTGGGAACTCTGGCACTGCCCGAGGGCCCGGGGACAGTAGGGGGCCCAATGAGATGCCCCTTGGTACCTTTCATAGGCATTTTTGAGTGTGGGCAAGGACACAGGGGCCCCATGATCCCCTATTGCCCGGGGGCCCCATGAGTTGTCAGTCCGCCCCTGGTTATAACTGATCAGAGGCTCAATTCACAAAGCTACCTCCAGGATAAGGATCCTTATTTGTACATTTATTTTCATCCGAGTGAGATTAAAAAAAATAGT